ATTCTAAAAATAAGTTTGTCAAACTTTGGAAATCCCAAACTTCAAAATCAATAAAACGAATACGGCTAACACATGTTGTGGACATGATACAAAAAGACACAAATGCTGGTCCATTTTTTATTATGAATTTTCTTGTACTATTTGTATCGGTGATGATCGAGTTTCTGTCGATGGGGACTGTCAATAAAGGATTCTTGGAAAATATTACGGATGATGTGGATATCAAACAGTTAGATTGGTGCTGATTTGTTGTATCATGTTTGAAATCTAGCCGGATGATGTGGAATGCACTTATCGTCCAATCTTTTCCACATCATTTGGCTTGATTTCAAACATGATACAACAAATCCGCACCACTCTAACTGTTTGATATCCATATCATCCATAATATTTTCCAAGAATCCTTGATTGACAGTCCCGATCGATGGAAACTCAAATCATCACCGATATAAACGATATAAACAGTACAAGAAAATTCATAATAAAAAATGGACCAACATTTGTGTCTTTTTCTATCATGTACGGAACATGTGTTAGCCGTATTCGTTTTATTGATTTTGGAAATTGGGATTTCCAAAATTTGACAAACTTATTTTTAGAATTTGCTTTAGAAAGGTTAGACATTGGTATGTCACCCATTGGAATCCCATATGTCTCGTGTACACTCTTCCCTTGTCGCTTACAAGTCTTTGGTCCTTTACCCAAATGGAATTACTATTTGGGTCGTAGTTTTCAACAACTCAATAACATATCCTACATGACAACTTTTCTAATTGTATAGATAGAGCGGATCCAAATCCAATAGACTGTACACGTCTTCTTTGATCCTTGTTCAGCAAAGTCATGGTTTTGGTAATGTGTTCCGGAGGGAACTTGTTGTTCAATAGGATAATTGAATGAGATAGCAAGTCTAGTTGTCATTCAATTGATGAAAACTCAATCATTGTGAGATGTCACATTAACATTTAGTGGATTTGGAGTTTTAATGGTAATTGAACTCTTCAATGGAAGAATGTTTTCTAATTCTTACATATATATACTATAAATTATCTTTTGTAATGTTTTATTAAACTTTATAGAGTTCAATGCATTGTATTAAAGATAGAGTTGTATGGAACGTAAAAAGATGATTTGACAATTCATTAAACTTCATGAAGTTCAATGCATTATGGATGTCATTGTTAAGAAATGATAGTAATTAGGAGCAATTTAGTGGTATTGAATTTCAAAATCAAAATTCACATTTATTGTAACCATTCGGAACTTTTGAGAAGGATATAACGTCTAAAAACCTAAGCATTATGAAGTGCTTGAGAAACCTTTCAAAAATCCACCCAAAGTTCATAAAATGATGAAGAATCATGGGAGAAATCGAAGCAAAAAGCCACGAATGTTTTCGGGGTTTCTTTTGACCAACTAAGTTGTGCTTTTTATGATTTAAGTTCAGATTAGTTACGCAGTTAGCTATATGTTATGTGTTTCATGGTCTGGTTTGCTCTATGTCTCTCATTATGGCAAATAAAAAAAATACGAACTTAAGAAAGAGACCATTTATATATTTTGTTTTTATTATGTGTGTGGTGAGTGTTGACGGGTACACCCAAACTCAAAAATATGAAGGCGCACAAGAGCAAAAACTCCAGGGTTTGTCCTAGAAGTTGCAAGTTCCGAGTCCTGCTGCCTTATTATTTTTAGTCCCTTTAAAAAATTATTCAAGATTCTGGTAATCACAAAACACCCCTTGTAGTTACTGGTTTTACAATTTTATCAAGAATTAAACAAACCAAACATTTATAAATACCTTAATAATCACTCAACAGCTTATAATTATTATTTTTATGTATTTTATCTGAATTTTCTGAAAACCTTGAAAATATATTTATTGTTGACAAATTCATAACTTTCAAAATTGTCCTAAATAAATGTGTGGGTGTTAGAAGATTGTATTTTGAGGAATACCTTGATATCGTTTGGATTTTAACCCATCAGTATTAGATGTGGTCATTTTTATTTAATGTCAATGGTTCAAGTCCAGTCTGAAATATATGTAAAATTTAAGTAGTTTAATATTAGATTAGATTTATCGTTAAAAAAAAATCAGGACATTGATGTATGTAAAATAACGGGATAAAAATAATACCAACGTAATAACTAAAAGAAGAATTAAATTGCTAGTTGGCCGAACGAATTATACTAGTATTGAATAAACGCCATGAACACATCATATTTTCTAAAATGGTTGCCTTAGGTGAACTTTATGGTGGATTCTGGGGTGCCGGTAGCATAACAAGCTTTAATTAAGACTTAACGTCTACAATTGCATGTGATTTTTTATGATTGCTTCCATGAAAAGTATTTATTTATACTCCCTCCGTCCCAAAATAATAGTCCACAAACAAAAAACATATATATTAAAAAAAAAAGTAATTATGATTAACTTTATTGAATAAAATGACAAATTTACCCTTTCATCTAAAACTTGGAGCCAACTTTTTCCCACTAATTTTTCCTATCACTTTTTAGTAAACTTAGATTTACATTAAACAAATTATTCCAACTAATTTTAAAGCCCAATTTTTTATTGAAAATAAATAGGGAGCCAATTTATGGGTTAGATTTTTTGAAGATACGTCTCTTTTTTAAAGACATGTATCTTACCTTCCATCCTCGCAATCTTATCTCTTTCTATGTCTCTTTCTCTCAACAATTACTCCATTGGATCTTTCTCTCTCTCTCTCTCTCTCTCTCTCTCACAAATTGAACAGCCGATTTTTTTTTTTTTTTTTTTGGTTTAGATATTCCTTTATTGATGCTCTTGACCGTTCTCTCTTAGAGCCACCCCTCCCCTATTAGTCGTTAGCCATATCCTCCCCTATGAAGCCACCGACCGGATATCGCCGCAACCCATAGCAAGATCGGAGACCTTCGACCACACAGCCAAGGTTTGTGTTTGTTCCTGTTGTCTACACTCGATTTTTTTCCTACTATCTGCTTTCATTCTTCTTCTTTTTGGTTTAGATATGCCTTTATCGCTGCTCATGTTGATCGTTCCCTCTTCAAGCTGCCCCTCCTCTATTAGACGTTATCCTCCCCTATGAAGCCACCTGCCGGATATCCCGTAACCCACAGCAACATCGGAGGCCTTCGACCCCACAACCAAGGTTTGTGTTTGTTCTACACTCAATTTTTTTTCCTAGGAACCGGATATATTTTTTTTTTTATTTTGAGGTAAAAACGTATTATATATATATATATATATATATATATATATATATATATATATATATATATATATATATATATATATATATATAACTCTAGGTTAAATGATATTTTTTTCCTAGTTAGTAAATGCGTCCTATAACATTTCTAGGAATTAAACTAAATAAACTCTCCTTATATACTATAGGTCGTTCATTTTTTCACAGCTAAAAACGATGTTTTTTTTATTGCGCTCCAAAGAAGTCGGAGTTCCCCCCAATTTCGTCTGCAAATTCCACCATCGCCACGACCGCTAGTGTCTCCGCCCCCGTTGGGTCGACCGAAGCTACATTAACGACTTTTAGTTCAATCTCTTCTTCCCCAAATCGTTTTTTGAAGGTAAATCCCTAACTTTTTTATTTTTTCGAAATCTTTGAATTTAAGTGGTTATATGTTGAAAATTAGGTTTAGATTTATGTTATTATATGTTTAAATGTTATTTCTTAGATTTTAGGTTGAATTTTGCCCTGGATGGTGTGATTTCCTTTACTACAGTTGAACCATATGTATCAAAAACGAGCTTGCAGTTGCAACACAAGATAAAAACTTAAAATGTTAACAATTGCTTTATAAAAATGATGAAAAACGGTTTATTATTGTTAACTACAGTTAAAGCAACTTGACCATATATATCATAAAACAAATGGATGATAGTAGCAGTCATTTGATCCCATCCATAAGGTTAAGGTTTGTTAGTAAAATTGAATTAGTTTTAAATTAAAAGGGCTAAAAGGGTAATTACATTTTATGATGATCACGTTCTCTTCTGATTTATTTAGAAAAGATACTCAAAAGTTCCTTCTAAATTCATCAAAAATCCACTAAAATTCTTCTACCCACTTTCCAGATTTGGTTTGTAACATTTGTTTCTGTTTTTTGATTTGGTTATGTTTCTGTTTGTTTCTGTTTCTGTTTGTTTGGTTTGGACAGATTTCCAAATTTGTTGTCTGGTGTAATTTGTCATAAGTGTCATTTTTTAAGTTTTTGTTGTGTAATTGTTTAATTCATGCATTAGAGTTTATCTTTCTAGACCTGCTATGACAAAAAAAAGTGACATATATACCCTTGAAAACATGTAATTCTACTGAATTTTCTGTTTCTGGTTGTTTTTTGGTGTGCCAAAATCTCAAATCATCACCAAGGGCAAAATCGTCAAATTCATAAAAAAAAAGAATTTTGCATCAGACCTGTACATACCAATAACCCATAAACAATGGATTACATTTCCACTAGCATCTTAATGTTTGTTAGTTTTATTAATATTTTGAAGTTATGATTTATGTTAGTTTATTGAATTGTTGGTTTTACTAATATTGTAAAGTTATGGCTTTAATTATATGCTATAAAATTTTTGTCTTATTGGAAAAATCTTATTCTAATATTTATTAATAATAAAGTGTGACGTTTCATTTGTTACTTTGTTAGATGAGTTGTGTTAAGTTGTTAGGTCTTTTTTATTAACATCTAACAAATGCAAAATCCTAGTTCTAGATCGAAAAATGTCATCCAATAGAGAATGGATGTACACTTTGCGCGCCAAAAATGGTATATTCAATCCGGTATTTCGACAACATGTCAATTATTTCTTGGATTTTGCATACACCAACGCAACTAGCATCAAACGTAAAATTATAAAAGGGGTAGAGGTTTTTCAAATTAGATGTCCGTGTTCCAAATGCAAAAATCGTTTTTTCAAGGAGAGAGAGTTGGTTGAGTTTGATATATATAAAAGTGGATTCATGGATAATTATTTTGTATGGTATGCACATGGCGAGTCATTACCTACACATGATGTGGGACAATGTTCAAACCCCGTATCATCTCAACGTGTGCGTCAACGCATAGACAGTGAAATGGCTCAAGACATTAATGACGATTTAGGTGAATATACCATATATGAGCAAATGGTTATGGAGAGCATGCATCAAAATACTGATACTTATTATCAGCAAGGACCACAACACCCAAATCAATCAGCTGAGAAATTCTATACCATGTTAAGGCTTGCAAACGAGCCTTTGTGAGACGGGTCTGAAAAAGCTTCCACACTATGCACCACCACCAGATTATTGAATTGGAAATCAGAATGTAATGTTTTCGACTCAGCATTTAATAAACTACTTCCGATATTCAAAGATAGTATACCCGGTGGTGAGAAGGTACCTACAAACTTTTACGAGACAAACAAAATGTTGAAGCCACTAGAGTTGCCGTCAGAAAGGATTCATGTATGCATAAATCATTGCATGCTATTCAATGGGAAAAATTCTGATATGGAGCGTTGTAGAGTATGTCATGAAAGCAGATACAATGATAGAGGGGCGCCTAATTTAGTCATGACGTACATGCCGATTGGACCAGTACTGGTGGTCGACTACACGACAGTACTGGTAGTCGACCTCAGGACTCCAGTCCTAATGACCGACAGCGACAGGGATGTACACGGCTTACATCGTTGAGTGTTCATGATGCTGAGAACTTAGGTCGTGGATACGCTGGGAGTACTAGTGATGTTGGTATATCTGATCAAATGGACGATACGCAGAGGATAATTAAACGTCGCCGCGTACATGAGGCCCACAATTCTGGCATCGACCCTGACAATGATTCTGAAGAAGAAGATGATGATGATACGCAACGCTACTCAAATGTCGCAGATACACCTCATAGATATGGCGATACTAGGCCGTATCTTGAGAAGTTCGGAAAAAAGTATGTCATTTTAATAGTTAAATTTATGTTGCTGACTCATATTATAAAAATACTAATTTTGTTATATTTCACTGTTGTAGGTTTGCATCCTATCAGGTACATCATCAAATCAGACTTATATTTGATCAATTTTTAGATGGAGCATGGCCCACATTTACTAAGCTTCCGCCTACAGTATTTCAGCAAATGTTTCGTGCTTTTGGGGTAATATCAATTAATAATTGGCATACCTTAGGTTGATTTGTTTTATGTTTGCACTTTTAGCTTTAGTTTCTTTTTTTTAACAGAAATACTATCGGTGGGATTCGGTAAATGATGGAATGATCGAGAGTGGATTTAGAAGTGTGGTGCAAGATCGTTATTCAGACATAATGAGTGAATATCGACATGAATCTGCAAATAGAGCTCGAGCGGCCGGTCACAACATCCCGAACACAAATAACGACTTTGCAATCATGCGTGATTTTGAGCCTATTAGTTTCAATGAGGACGTATGGAAGGATTTGTGTAAAGTAAGCTAATTAATATATTATTATTTTTTTGTTATTTTTTTCCTTTTATATATTATCTTACATATTCTTTTTATAGTATTGGGACACAGATGCTTGGAGAAAGAAGTCGGTGGCCGGGAGAGCCAACCGTATGAGCGGTGACGACACCGGTACAGTTTCGAGACATACAGGGGGATCCAGGGGTTATGATCAGTATCGACTGGAATTGGTAATTATGCGAATCAATATTCATATAATTCAGTAATTGGTTTTACTTAATCATAGATTACACTAATTATACTATGTGTTTTATGTAGCAAAAGGAATTGAAACGTATCCCTACATTTCTGGAACTTTTTCTTATTACCCACCTTACTGCAGAGGCCAAGAAAAAATTCAAGGCTAAAGATTATGATACAATTCAAGAGTTGGAGTTTTGTACACCTACTGCTAGAGCAATATGTGTAATTTATCTTTTCCTTTATAGATAATTAGTGCTTCAACTTGAAATAGTATAATAATAACAATCGTTTTGTTTTGATAAATTGTAGGAGAGATACACTAGTGCCATGGTTGAAAAGTACGAGGAGGACCTAACTCAACATCCAGAGGGTGATGTTGACTTGTGGGTGCAAGCACAAGAAGGGAGAGGCAAGTGCAGACGTATTTACGGGGTAGGAAGTTCAGATCTACATTTCGTTGTCATGGGGACATCATCCAACGGGAACAAACCGACCTCTTCTGAGTACCAGCAGTCACAACAGCGGGTATTTTTATTTGACATAAAAAAAAATGCAAAGTAGATAAAATATGTTGTTATTATAGATAAAAAAAATCAAGTTTGTTGCTATTATGGATAAAATAAAGTTGCTGCTATTATTTAAAAAACATAGAAGTATATGGTCTTTGATAATAAATAACAATTATAGTATGTTGGTATTATGAAAAAAGGTAAAATGCTATAATTGATAGAAAATAAAAGTATGTTGCTATTGTATATAAAAATGATAATATGTTGCTATTATGAATAAGAAAATTTAAGTTCATTCCATTAATAAGTGAAATATATGTTGGTATAATAGATATAAATGTTAATATATATACTTTGTTTTTACTATTTTTTATGTTACTAATGTATGTATGTTTCTTTTAACATTTTTTTAGGTCCAGGAATTGGAAGAAGCTCATGCCGAATTGGCCCGACAAAATGGTGAAATGGCCAAAAGACAAGCACAAATGGAAAAACAAATGGCGGAAATGGTCGAGTTCATGAGACGATATGACACTAATAATCGTCCCGACAATCCATCCAATCCATCAAATGCTCCTTAGGTTATTTGTTGTAAACGTTTGTACGGTTTTAAGACTTCTATATTATCTTTTTGGTTTACATGATTGTTGAAACTTATGTTCTAAAGTGTAAGCGTTTGTATGACTTTTAGATATATGGAATGAACCAAGTTTTTTTGTATTAGTTCTGTTTCTGCATTTTAGGCTAAATTTTTTGGTTTTTTGTTTTTTATTTTTTTACAGCTGCATTGTTCCTAGGAAATTCCTAGAAACTTTTGTCACGAACAAGTGTCACAAAAAGCTGTCAAGAAAGTTTCCTAAAAGGTTCCACGGAAAAATTTTCCTCGGAGATCCCTCAAAAATAATCCTTGGAAATTCATCAGAAATAAACTTCCTTGGAAATTCGTCGGAAATAAACTTCCTTGGAAATTCCTCGAAAATAATTTTCCTCGGAAATTCATCGAAAATAAACTTCCTCGGAAATCCGTCGGAAATAATCTTCCTTAGAAATTACTCGGAAATGATCTTCCTAGGAAATTCCTCGGAAACAAAATTCCTAGGAAAACCCTCAGTACTTACGACAAAACCATTTCCTAGGTAATGAGTCAGAAAGTTCCTCGGAAATCCCTTACAAAACATTTCCTAGGAGGGTTTTACCGACGCACAGGATTTTCTCGGCATTTCCTCGGAAACGCCGTTTTCCTAGGAATTTCTGAGGAAAATGTCCCTCGGAAATAGCGCTTTTTTTTAGTAGTGTTGCAAGTTCCGAGTCCTGCTGCCTTATTATTTTTAGTCCCTTTAAAAAATTATTCAAGATTCTGGTAATCACAAAACAGCCCTTGTAGTTACTGGTTTTACAATTTTATCAAGAATTAAACAAACCAAACATTTATAAATACCTTAATAACCACTCAACAGCTTATTAGTATTATTTTTATGTATTTTATCTGAATTTTCTGAAAACCTTGAAAATATATTTACTGTTGACAAATTCATAACTTTCAATTATTTAGTTTAAGGCGTTGGCCTTTTATATTAAAATAATTATATATCATATTTTTATACCATTGTTTCAAAATTGTCCTAAATAAATGTGTGGGTGTTAGAAGATTGTATTTTGAGGAATACCTTGATATCGTTTGGATTTTAACCCATCAGTATTGGATGTTGTCATTTTTATTTAATGTTAATATATATTAAAGAATAGAATATACAATTTCAAATAACTGTTAAATATTATAGAAGATATCGATTAATCTAGCGATATGGTTCAAGTCCAGTCTGAAATATATGTGAAATTTAAGTAGTTTAATATTAGATTAGATTTATCGTTAAAAAAAATCAGGACATTGATGTATTTAAAATAACGGGATAAAAATAATACCAACGTAATAACTAAAAGAAGAATTAAATTGCTAGTTGGCCGAACGAATTATACTAGTATTGAATAAACGCCATGAACACATCATATTTTCTAAAATGATTGCCTTAGGTGAACTTTACGGTGGATTCTGGGGTGCCGGTAGCATAACAAGCTTTAATTAAGACTTAACGCCTACAATTTCATGTGATTTTTTATGATTGCTTTCATGAAAAGTGTTTATTTATACTCCCTCCGTCTCGAAATAATAATCCACAAACAAAAAACATATATATTAAGAAAAAAGTAATTATGATTAACTTTATTGAATAAAATGACAAATTTACCCTTTCATCTAAAACTTAGAGCCAACTTTTTTCCACCAATTTTTCCTATCACTTTTTAGTTCCCTCTATTTTTTTTTATCATAAAACGTAGATTTACATTAAACAAATTATTCCAACTAATTTTAAAGCCAATTTTTTTATTGAAAATAAATAGGGAGCCAATTTATGGGTTAGATTTTTTGAAGATACGTCTCTTTTTTAAAGACATGTATCTTACCTTCCATCCTCGCAATCTTATCTCTTTCTATGTCTCTTTCTCTCAACAATTACTCCATTGGATCTTTCTCTCTCTCTCTCTCTCTCTCTCTCTCTCTCACAAAGTGAACAGCCGATTTTTATTTATTTATTTATTTTTATTTATTATTTTTTTTTTTGGTTTAGATATTCCTTTATTGATGCTCTTGACCGTTCTCTCTTAGAGCCACCCCTCCCCTATTAGTCGTTAGCCATATCCTCCCCTATGAAGCCACCGACCGGATATCGCCGCAACCCACAGCAAGATCGGAGACCTTCGATCGCACAGCCAAGGTTTGTGTTTGTTCATGTTGTCTACACTCGATTTTTTTCCTGCTATCTGCTTTCATTCTTCTTCTTTTTGGTTTAGATATGCCTTTATCGCTGCTCATGTTGATCGTTCCCTCTTCAAGCTGCCCCTCCTCTATTAGACGTTATCCTCCCCTATGAAGCCACCGACCGGATATCCCGTAACCCATAGCAACATCGGAGGCCTTCGACCCCACAACCACGGTTTGTGTTTGTTCTACACTCAATTTTTTTTCCTGCTATCTGCTTTCATTCTTCTTCTCCTTTCATCCACAAATTCGCAATCGAAATCTACTGACCGTGAAAAATTGGAAAATCAATAACGATACACCATTTGTATGTTTTCGTTTTCAGTGTGTTCAGGTGAGCATTGTCAACAATTGTTATGTTTAGGAAGAGTGTTGCTTAGACTAAACAAGATCTTAATTCTTGGTTATGCAACTGCATCAATTGATACAGACACAAATGCCATTATACAAAGGATTATAAGGAAGAGTGTTGCTTAGACCAAACAAGATCTTTATTTTCATGCAAATGCATCAATTGATACAGACACAAAATTGATTTGGTTAAAACTTCGATGTTGCTATTTTTTTTTTTTTTTTTTTTTTCCTAGTTGCAACTGTTTGGTTTATGTATTTTTATAACTAGTACTTCTAACCAAGATTGATACTATTGCTGTTTTTTATTGGAAAACTTACAATTTTGATGTTGCTACTGTTTTCTTAGGTGCTACTGTATGGATCATTTCAATATTACACTCACTAAAAAGAATACTACTTTTGAACAACGACACACTATATATGAAGCCTTATTGCAACCAAGTGTTTCTGGAGAGTTACAAAGGGGTGTCATAAGTGATATAGCTTCACAATTCTTGGTATCGAACTGGACCGTTAGTTGCATTTGGCATAAGGCTAAATTTCAAATTGTTCATGGACTACCGGTTGTTTTATCTTCAAATATGGCGAAGGTTGTTGGATGAAAAAGGGTACAAGTTAATTTTAATCAAGTTTTAGATATTCCATTACGTCGTCGATCTAATATACGGTCTCTTGCAAATTCTTTAAATGTTTCTAAATCTACTGTGCATAGACGAATCAAGGAAGGTGCACTTCGACCACACACAAATGCCATCAAGCCAACTCTTACTCATGGGAATAAGAGAGCAAGATTAGAATTTTGTTTATCTAAAGTTAGTTGATCATTATCAAGTCATATTCCCATATTTCATGACATGTTTAATGTTATCCACATTGATGAAAAATGGTTTTACATGTCAAAACCATCAAGACACTACTAACTTGTTCCTGGCGAGGATGAAACATTAAGAACATGTCAAAGCAAAAAAATTTATCACAAATGTTATGTTTCTAGCGGCTGTGGCGAGACCAAGATTTGATGCATCCGGTGATGAATTTTTTTCGGGAAAAATTGGTATCTATCCGTTTACAAGATTAGAACCCGCTATGTGTTCAAGCAAAAACCGTGTTGCGGGAACGTTGGAGACAAAACCTATTTTATCCGTGACTAAAGAAATAACAAGGTCATGGTTGATAGAAAAAGTTTTGCCGGATATTAGAGCTAAATGGCCCCGAAGTCATGTCGGTCTCATATTTATCCAACAAGACAATGCCATGCCCCATATTGATGTCAATGATAACGAGTTTCTTGAAGCGGCATCTCAAGATGGTTTTGATATCCGACTTAATTTTCAGCCCCCCAATAGTCCGGATTTGAATGTGTTAGACCTTGGATTCTTTCGAGCAATCCAATCACTTCAAGAACAAGAGGCTTTAGGTATAATTGATGAATTGGTTCAAGCGGTTCAAACGACTTTTGAAAAAAATGCAATCTCAACAACTTAACAATGTATTGTTAAGTCTACAAACGTGTATGAGGGAAATCATAAAGGTTCAAGGCGGCAACAACTATCAAATACCGCATATCGGTAAGAATAGGTTGGAACGAGAATGTAATTCAAATTGGAGGTGATGAAAATTTGATAAATGAGGCTTTATTGCATTTGGCTGCCTAGTTATTTTAGAAAAAATATTTGTGATCAAAATAGTAGGAAAAAAACATTTTGTGCTGGTACCTTTGATGGTGTATTGTATTTTGTGTTAATTCTTTTTTGTTTTTATACCATGAAATTAGTTTGACATTGAGAATGTGGAAGTAATTTTCAAGACAAAAAAAATGGATATTGTAGGTGATAACACAGAAAAAAAAGTAACGTGGGATATGCCTAATTGCTATTTTTGTTATTCTTTATTTTTGATAATGTGACAATCTAGTTGGTTAAAGGAAAACAAAAACAAAAATATGCCTTCGTGATTGTGTGATAATCTACAAAAAAAGAAAAACAAAAAGAAAAGAAACAGTCGTGTGTAGGGAAAAAACTAAAAAAAAAAAAAACAAAAAGTCATTGATTTGTTAAAGAAAAAGTGACTTTTGTGCATTAAATTCCATATCAAAAAACCAATCATTAAAAATAACTATCGAGGGTATTTTGGTAAAATGAGCACTTAATTTTAGAAATTGGCAATTATTTTGGGACAAATAAAAATGGAAAGATGAACTATTATATTGGGACGGAGGAAGTATTATAGTAGGTTAGAGACCCGTGTATTGCAAAAGTTGACAGCTTAGAAAATCAAAAAGCATTACTTACATTTTGAAATCCATCTCCAAACAACATTATCAAAGTTACAATGGTTAAAAAGTATGAAAAAAAAAGTATGAAATATGACTTTGATAATCTTCATTGTTTGTATTACAAAATTGTACTTTTAAAATCTTATGTCTATCTACCCAATAGAATAGACCATATGCTTTTTTTTCAAAATGATTAAACCCTAATTTGAATAGATCCCTTCCCTCCTTGGCATCTTCTTTAGGTAAATATTTTTGACTCTCATCCATTTTGA